TCAGAGCCTTAGAGTTACCTCTATGATAGTATCGTGAGTGACCTTGAAATCGATGAATAGGTGATGTGTAGGGACTTGTTATTCGCGATAGTTTTGGAGGACCTGCCGCAACGTAAAGATTTGGCGTGTTGTCGATCGTCTTCCACAAAAGTAGCTTGATAACTTCTCACAAATCTGCTTGCTAGCGGCGATAGATGGCGAAAGATGAACTGGGAAAACCCTTTGTGCGCTCAAAATTATTATTATTCTGAAATCGATTAAAATTTAATACTTTTTCGGATTTATTCCATATGCACTCAAAAATATTAGTAAATAACATAGATTAAAATTTAATCATTTTATGCGCTAACAATGTTTATACGTAGATACGATTAAAATTTGTTTCAAAATTATACTAAGCTCGTATAGTAGTGAAGAGTTCGTTCAGTTTATTTCGTTGATATTTTTGATAGACTTGAAAAATTAATCGTGAATTTAACAACGCACGGAAGATCGGCATCAAGACAGGTTTGCGGCACCGACGGAACCTCTAACCGAGAACGAATTAGAATCACTGTGGTTGACGGATTCCTACTGGTGCCCTGAATCAAGTCATACCTGACGATGAGCTGATTAATCCAAACAGTGGTGACGGAATAACAAGTTACGGTGTTCAAGACGTCTATCGGAACGTTATCCTCCAATCCAATCCAATCCAAGGAACCATTGTTGGAATTTGAAGATTGTCGGTTGCAGGTTTTGTTAAACACAATCGTAACACAAGCTTGTAAGCAGGTTCCGCTCACTTCACTATAAAACATGTTTTTCGAAATTAAGGAATCGTTGGATGGTATAATGATATTCTATACTTGTCAGATACAAGAAGAGGTTGGAAAGTATGTATTTGACACATAAAACCTGTCAATTAAGCTTCCAGTGCGTCACAAGCAGCGAATTTATGACTCGTGAGCGTTCACTCAGAGTGAACGACAGTAACGAAAGATTATTTGCAGTTTATACTATCCATGCATAAAGCATTTTACACTAAGTTTGTATTCTCTCTCTTTATTCCGAATTATGCGTCGGGAAGGAGAGTTGCGATTTAGCGTAACTTTTATCAAAGACATCATATCAAGAAGACTGGCAACTTTGCCAGAATCCAAGCGACAGATACAATAGCGCTGCGCTTGAGTGAAGGTGGAAGCAACGCATAGGAAAATGAGCAAATACACAAACCTTTCTTTTGAGAATGTAATCTTTGCTATCAAATTTGTTCGAAGCATTTGCCTTTTAGCGGCAGATGACACGATTGTACCTGTCTCATAGCGTTCGTATGAGAAAATGGAAGAGTTGCCAGTCTTATTGATTTGTTGTCTTCGCTTTTATCCTATATAGATTTTAATATTTTTTGAGTGTACATAGCGCTTAGATTTAAAAGTAATCTATAGAAGATTTAATTTCTATACTAGGTTATCATAGTTTGTTAGTAAACAATTCACGCGTGATATATCAGTTGCTAGTTCGTTGTCGTAAACAGTCGGAACAAGAAACAAATAGGGGAAGAGTTGGCTTCGGCAATACCTTAACCTATTATCGTCAGGGGGAACGTCCTTGAGAGCTCAATTTTGGCATGTGGATACATTGTGTTTCAGCGCAACTATTGGCCAAATTTGAGTGCTCTAGGACTTTGTTTAACCCCCTGAGATAATAGGTTATAGTATTGCCGAAGCCAACATTTCCCCTATAAGCTTTAGACGAAGAAAACCAAGAATGAGATCGAGTTGGAAAAAATGGAGGAATATCGAGTCACTCATCAACTGCTGGACCGTTGGAGGGAACACAAATTTTCCAGATATGGTATTGATTCATTTAGAGGGCCGTTGAAGGTTCAATGTCCGCTCTTTCGCTGACTAAATCTTAGCTGAAAATTGCCTACAAAACGAAACAGCCGGGAAATGGAAGCATTTTTTTTGTTCGACGGCGTGGATCATAATTAACGCATTCCTGTATTCTGTGGTTCATTCTAGTCGAGTCGAACGTGGCCTGCGTCACTTCCTGTTCTGGACGTTCAGTGCCACGCAGCCGGGGGGGCTACAAAGTGATTTATACGTACTAAAACGTCCATTCCGGACACACACAAGTCTGACTAGCAGCCTGTGCGAGCTAAGCAAATCCAATCATGTATCAACATTCTCCAGGAACAGTAAATCCAGCGGTTTCCAGTTGAAGGTCGAGGAAAACGAAGCAACAAGATTTAATATCAACTTATGTAATTATCAAATTTCATAGATATGCAATTTTAAAAGTGAATTTTACAAGAAACAACAATAACAACCAACGAAATACATTTTGGCTGATAAATCCCTTTAATACATCGTTCGCATGCTCGCTTTTTATACTTTCTTATCCATAAACCATTTTTATGTCGTATTCTCTATCTTTATACGGATCTATGCGTCGGTCGGGAGAGTTGTGATTTAGCGTAGCTTTCAATGTATTTAGATTTAAATATCTTTTGAGTATGGGCTGCGTGAAGAATAATGATCGCTCAATAGTTCTCACCAGCGAATCCAAACACATAAAGCAACCAACGATACAGACAAAGCGCTTGCTACGACTACCACGACAAACTCTCTGCAACACAGCTCGATCGGAGTGGTATAAGGATAATGATATATTGCTTGCCTGCTTTGTTGCGATATACATAGTTAAGGACTTCTTGAAAAGATATAACAAAAAAAAATCCCATTAACACACGTGTATCATCTTTGGCTTTACTTCGTGAAGCAGCTTGCCAACAATTTCGTCGTTTTCTTCTACCGGTTCGAGCGAGCTATATTGCAAAGGCTGCTTGTCATGAAAAAGAAATAAAAAGATTATATCATTATAGCTTTCCATTTCTGACAAAGCGTTATCATTCGGCTCGTTGGTCGCTTGTCATTTAGTCATTTGGAGATATTTTTGATTCCTTGGTTCTCACAGTCTAACTTGTAATTCTTTTTGTATATTGAACATACAATAAACTCTTCATTTCTCGATGTTCTATATCTCGATATTCCTCCCTATCTCGATGATTTGAGCAGTCCCTCCATACATATTATATTCTATATATCACGATCTAGTCTACCAGCTTTTCTACGTTTGAAGTAAGCGATCGAGTTTTGCTTTGGACACGGGATGAAAAAATGCAATTTTTGAAACCGAAGTGCTTCTAGAATCGTTCTAGTAGGCTAATAAATTACTGGTCTTAATGTCACATAATCACATAGACCTTATGTGGCTAATGAAATTTATGTGATTTATCACATAGATCTCATGTGATCATATGAATGTTATGTGCATTTCAGATAAAATTCATTAGTTTTGTAATTGGAAAAATATCGTGCGCGTTCCCAATGGAAACTACAAGAAAACTGGCAGTTCCACGCCAAATGACGAATCGATAAATCTCGACCTTCTCCGATTTACATGAAACTTTACCTAATTGTTTGTAATGGGCAACCATTCACAGTTTTGCTAGAATTTGGCCATTTTGGATCTTATATTTTTTTCAAAATGGCGATTTTTATATTTTTTTCAATAAATTGTAGCATGAAAACTTCACTTCTGACCGAACTGATGATGAAACAAAGTTGAAGAGAAAAATTAAGTCTTTATAAGTATTACAATATTTTTATTTAAAAAAATTGTTAAATACTCAAATATTCCAAAATATCCTTGTTCTACTTTTATTAATTTAAAAAAAAACTAAAAAAAAATGCAAATTTTTGAAATATTTAACACCATAGACACTTGAAAATAAACAAAAATCGTAGAACAAGAACTTGTGGTAAATTTTTATAACTTTTTGTTGGTAGTGTGGTCTTCAATATTTTAAAAGTTTGTATTTTTCATGAGCTTAAAAAAATACTAAGATTTGACAAGAACATTTTTGAGATACATAAAATTATAACTTTTTTTTTTAATTTTCTTAGAAAGACTTTATTTTTCTCTAAAACTTTGTCTTAGATGTCATTCCGATTAGAAATGACGTATTAATGCTTCAATTTATTAATTTAAAAAATGTCAATGAATTTTAGCACAAATGTGAATAATTGCCCATAACAAACAATTCAGTGTCAACAATTCAAAGGGGCGTAATTGCTTTTGTAAACAATGGTTTTAACCGTCGATTTCTCGCGAATAAAAGCTCACACATGAAAATCAATGACTTCAACAGGTAGATGAATGTATCCTCTACCAGCTGGAATTGTTAATTTGGAGTGGTGAGCTTTAATTTGCGAGAAGTCGACGGCTAAAGCCATTGTTTACAAAAGCCTTTACGCCCCTTTGAAATGTTGACACTGAATTATACATAGTTTCATGCAAATCGAAGAAGGTCGTGTCAAAAATGAATTTTTTAGCTATTTGACTTCCATCGGTAAATTAACTACTGTGGATAGACTCAAAGAATACTTAATTAAGGGCATCTGTTACACAAGTTGCATGGACTATTTTTGCTATATTTCGTGAAACAAGGAAACTTCAGACAGCAGATGCAGTATTTATCTTATCCATGAAGTTTAGCAAAGCGATAAGGGTTCATAAACATTGGGAACGTCACTTTGTTCTAATGTAGTTGTCTTAGTCTTATTGAAACAATGAATGAAATGAATGAAAGCTTTTGTACAAAATTGTCTTATCAGTTTAAGCTGTGGAATAGACAACGCTATATTTTTATCAAGCAAATAAATTAATAATATTAAAGGCCGTGAAAGCATTGTCGTTTGAAGGACGAAGCTCCAAAAGAGGATATGCAACATATCATATAAAACAAAAATACGCTAATTCTTGTATCAGGTGGTTTAACATTGCTTTTCATGTTTTTTTAGACTAGATCGTTGCGTATCATCGAACTAGGAAGAGATATCTGTACAAGGATTTCAAGGTACTAGGAGTGACAAAAGCAAATCATAATGATTTTGCTAGCATTATTTAACTGGCATTAGAGGCTGTCTGCGGTGATGAATGACCAAACTCACCTTTCCTGATAGAAGACCAGCATAAGCGAAATAAGGGTTCCACTGAGGGAGGTGGTAATATTTATTGGTATTTGTGGTATGGCGAAATTGATCCGATAAACAAATCGGACGGAAAACATAACACGTAACGCAGAAGAAAAAGAACAGGACGAGTGAAAAAAATAACACGAGTTAATATAAAATGTTCCTACATATAATGGTACTCCCAAAGCATTGCTTACTTAGAAAGCTTATCTTTGTCAGCAAACGTTTGCAAACCCAATCATTAAATATTAATCTACTTAGTAGCAACTAGCAGTAAATCATATTAATAATGTTGATTTTTACATAGGAGAGTTGAACTTACCGTCTGGATATTGTTGGTAGTGAAATTACTGCCTCGGACGACTCTCCGATCGTGCATCACATTTTGGTAGGTGGCGTGTTGCTGGTCTCTGTAAATAGACGGATGCCAGGAGGGAATAGTGAGAAAAGAAAAAAAAATCATTAATATTACATAGAAGTCCGTGATTATAGCTTATAGGGTATTTTCGGGCGTCAAAGGTTGTTGGTCTTTGGATAAATACCCACTAGGTAAGAATATGTAAATTTAAATCACTTTTGCGTTGAGACGCTCTTCTTGGTTTTCCTGTTCGCAGTGGGAGTTCTACGCATTAACTGGAAATTACCTAATGTTAGCCATGTGGTAGCAATTTTATCGAAAAAATATCACTTTTACCGCAATCGCATTAAAAATAATGAGATATTGTGCACATTATTGCTTGAAGCAAGTTTATAATCGTAAACATTCAAACATTTTTTTTAATCTAGGTCCAATCTTCACAATCACATTTTAAATTTCATATTTTTTCATATTTTTCGTCTTATTTGCGTCCTAACTAAATCTTTACTCCTGCCGTCAACTTCTTTGTCAGTGTTTCTTGAGCACTTTCACAGTTGTTAATTGAGAGTTTTATTGGCCTATACACAACAACAAAACAGCGCAAACGCGATATCCTAGAACCTATTGCCGATTAATGGAAAAAATCAACGCAACTGACAACCACAGCATGCTGTTAAAGTTGATAATCTGACGTCAAGGTTGCTTTAATGTTCATATAGGTCTTATTTACGGAGATAATCACGATTAAAGACTTTGAATCTGAAAATACCTCTAAAATCTTCAGGAGAATTTCCAATCCAAAACACACAAAAATTACCATTTAGTCTCGAACCTTTCAGAATTCAATGAAACTATATATGATTATATGTTCGTTACAACCCTTACAGCAAAACATTAATTTTAATATTACATAAACCATGCCGAAAATCTCATGTAATTTTTATGGCCACAACAATAAAAAAAATGCAGTAAAAGCAGCGTTATGTCAGTTCATGCACTGTATTCAGGGCTGTCATCTGATCACTCAATGCGCGCAATGTACAGATTTTTCTGAAATAAACAAAGTGAGAATCATTTAAACACAAAGTTTACTTGTCTTTCACCCTGCACAAGTGTAATGCAGCGGAGAAGAGCAGACAGACACACACCCAGAAATAACAAAAGCTCAATGTGTAGCCATCGTTCCGACGGCTCCGACGCAAAGAGCGCCACTCAGTGTAGGGTTGCAAATGGGAAACCCAGCAAAAAGACAAAATTCTTCTTCGTTATGCCTTTCTTCATCTCCTATGCATGCAGTCGTGGTAAGCAAAGTCTGCAAAGAATCCAAAGAAGACATTACCGCTTGTTGTATGTATTATATTCGCTCCCTGCGCCGCACGGATTGTACCGCTCATTGTGTGGATCGCTTTCTCACAGATTAGTTGGAAAAGAGTGTGCGAAGTAAATGGGAGAACTACACACTCTTTGTCGAGTGTTGTGAGATGCATGAACAAAGTTGCTTTGCTAACGCTCTGAGGTGCTTTCCAGCCCTGACTGTATTAATGATGATTTTGTCCTTTTTTTAAGTAATATTACACCATATTTTCGACACGATTGAAGTGCACCCACTTTGATGTGATATTAAAATTAATTTTTTTGCTGTTGAATTTTTTTATTAAAATATGATTATTTTTCTAAAGATAAACTTTTTAAAACTACGTCATTACTTGAAAACGACTAATGTGACCAAACTGACATCTGAGAAAAGTTGTTAATAGTTAATAATAAATGTGCTTTGGGAAAAAATACTTATTACGAGTGTCACTTCACGATGAAAACGAAGTGATGTGACCACTTATCACTCACGGTGAAGTGATTGCCGTGTAAATCAAATGGGAATCACTTCACCGTGAGTGATAAGTTGTCACTTCCTCGTGAAGTGACGTCGGTAATAAGGGCCAGAAAAAAAATCAGCAAATTCATGTAAAAAAATAATAAATTGCTGATTTTCTCAAAGGGCCACCTTCGATTTTCATAATATTTTTTTGTAATGCTGAAGTTATGTCCTAAAAGTTGGTTTAAAGTGTCAGACGGTATTTCCTATAAATATTTTTTTTTGTTTTAGTTTAATTTTTACTAAAATAATACATTTGTTTTTACTAAAATAATATCAAAAATGAATTTTATGCATATTTTTTTACATGCATATATAAGTCTAGCCATTCTCAAGTTATTGCATTTTTTTTTTTGAAAATTCAATGTAATTTTGTTCGGGAAGCTATTGATTTTTTTTTAATTTATTGGATTTTTTATATCTTTTACACTTTTAATGAAAATCAAAACCTATTTTTTTTATTTCGCGGCTTAAGGCAGAGGGGAGATTCGAACAAATTGTTGAAAAATTTGTATGAACATTATGAACAATTGTCTAGGTAGAGGAGGATGCACAGTGGTTACCCATAGGCCATTAATTCCATGAATATCGGCAGCAGAATACGAAACGCGACATTGCCGGTCAACAAAGACACAAGGGGATTTTTGATAACGTGCGTAAAGTTTGTCCTGGCTCAGTGTCGGTTCAAAACAGCGTACGTGATCCTCCATTGGTTAGGAACGAAATGGACTTCCCTTTTTTGATGGTTGACTTCTCACTTGTCCTCCTTTCATGTAACAATACAGCTCCGGAAATGGACAGAATCAAGTTCAAGTTGCTGAAAAATCTGTCAGACGTCGTGAAAAGGTGCTTGTTGAAGTTGTGCAATCAGTTCGTTATTCCGGGTGATAAGAGGTAAGTGAGAGTCATTGCCATTCAAAAACTCGCGTTCAATCATAACTCGTACTGTCCCATTGCGATGCTTTACTGAATTCGGAAGTTGTTGGAGAAAATGATTCTTCTTTGTCTGGACAAGTGTTTCGAGTAGAATGGTTTACCCTCGGATATACGCAATTTGGATTTCAGAGGGGGTTCTTTAATTAGAGACTAAAATAAAGATTGAAAAATTTCAATTGGGTTCTTTAATTTTGAAAAATATATCGGTTTTTATACACCATCTGAAAGAGCTTCGTTTTCTGAGCACAGTGATATTTTTTTTTTCGAACCCACACACTTTCATCTCGATTTTTAAATCAAGATTTAAAGCAAAACAATTACTTCGCTGTTTGACACTAAACTGACAAACAGGCAGCTCGCTCCCATACAAAGTGACACCAAGGGGCGCTAATAAGGTGATTTTTGCAAATGTCATCGTTCTTATTTTTTTTTTTTTTTTTTTATATCTTTATTAAGGAGACTTTCAGCCGTTGGCTGGCTCGTCTCCGAAAGATCGTTCTTATTTAAAATAGTTCCAGTGTACCAAAATTGATGAAATTTTGGTGCACTGAAACTATTCTAAATAAGACCGATTACATTAGTAAAAATCGCCATCTTAGCGCCCCTTAGTGTGACTTTGTATGGGAGTGAGCTGTCAATTTGTTTGTTTAGTGTCAAAAAGCGAAGCTTTAAATCTTGATTTAAAAATCGAGATTAAAGTCTATGGGATTTAAAAAATATCGATGTGCTCAGAAAACGAAGATGATGTATGATATTCGGTAAAATTTTTTCCAAATTAAAGTACCCGATTGGCCTATACTCGAAAACAGTAAATGGGCTCAGATTTTTGGACATTAAAGTGAACCCTACACGATTGCTTTTATTGACAATAATCGTATTGTCAATACATGCTATATTGACGTCAATATATCGAGATTGACAATATTTCTGAATTCACATCATCAATATTATTGTCAATATTTCCCCTTCGCGTCAATATATTGATGCGTGTGGGGTTTGCTTAAGACCATGTTACAGTCACTATAAATCAATAGAGACGCAACGAATCAAAAAATCTGCGAGGTGTTTTTTTAGGTTTTTGAATTATATTTTTTAAGTTATCAAGTTTTGGGTTTTCGCTCAATACTCCTATGAAACTAGACTATCATGCATATTCATTGATTTATAGCAACTGTAAAATGGTAGGAAAAACACATCGCTGATTTTTGTACATGTTGTGTAAAAAATCTTCAAAAAGAAAATATAAAATCATACTACACACTTAGTTTTTTTTTTCTACGGAGCTCGATGGTGCAAATCTCGGCAAAAAAAGTTTTACTGAGATCTCAGCAAACATTTAAGTTGTTTTCTGATATACAGCTAAGAATTACACGAGATTAAGCAATCAAATGTCATTTTTGCTGAGATCTTAGTGAAACTTTTTGTCAACATTTGCTCAGCCGAGCTCGGTAGAAAAATCTAAGTGTGTACGCCCTCTGTTTACAAACCAAGAAAAAAACATAAACAAACAAATACAATCCATGTTTTTCAATACATAATCCCAATTTTTGAATATCATTGTATGTTTCCTATAAATAATTTTTAATTAACTTCCATTTGATATTTTGACCTTTGAAATCGGACTGTGGTTCAATAGTTATGAATTTGAAAAAAAGCCATTTTTGAGAAAAAAAAAAAACGATTTTTTGGATCACTGTAACACTCCGCATACGATGCCTCCGAAAAGCGTGTAACGGCAAGTTTGCAATGGCATAGCTTAGGAATTTCTTGACGAATTTCATAAATTGCTGTATCTCTAGAATTCCTAGGGTCTGTAGAATATTTTGATTTTAAAAAGTTTGAAAATAGGTTCGTCTATTTTTTCAAAAAGTGAAAAAAGGTCGTCACACGTTTTTTTTTTAAGTTGTGTTTATGGGCTTTGCAAGTGGCATTAGATATATAATTTAGATTGATTAGCACAAATGTTCATATTAAACCAGAATACAGTCATGGTTCCTACATATGGATCCTGGAGACAACGAAACGGTGCTCCGGAAGATCCGGAGCGTCCGTAAAAGTGGTCAATTCACGAACGTGATCCTATAGCTCAGCGTTTTTGAAAATATTTGGAACTGTGATATAAGATAGAATTTGGGGTCGTGACATAAAATAGGACCCTGATGACCATGGGACCGTCCTCCAGAAGATCCAAAACATCCGTAAAAGTGGTCAATCCATGAAACTGATTCTAAAGCTCCGCAGTT